CAACTGTCAAATCACATCCATTATGTTGCCTCTAACCTCCCAACATCCTCTTTGAACACACCACGTGGGAGACACGTGGTTTGGCAGCCCTGGAAGTACAGATTGGCTGGTCCCTCACCCTGCAGAAGTTTCCCTGAGCTAGAGAGGAGGAAGGTCTTTGTGCACTGACCACCGCATTTATCTTTTTATCCCTTTCCTCTCATTTTTTGTTTCAAATTCGTGTCTCCTAATGCTCTGATCTGAATAATCATTTCCTATAAATTACTAGTGCATATTTAATAAAATTCTTTTTATTTAAAAAAAAATTTTTTTTTTTGTATTTGTGATAGTGTATATGTGAATGAGAGTGAGAAAGGAGAGACCCCGAACAGGGTCTGGTCACGCTGCCAGCCCCTTTACCCTGCTCCTTCAGCTCCTCAGGATCTCAGGCATGCACATACATCTCCATCAATTTGGCCAGGGATCTGAACCAGCAGCCACGTGGCTTCCAACACTGATGTCCAACATGCTACAAACCGCACCAGAGGCTGGGCTAGAAATTCACTCTTCATTTCAGTCAAGAAAAGCTCAGTGGGTCACTTATAGCCCTCCTTCCCACTGATATAACTTTTGCTCATTTTTTTTTTCTTTTTTTTGGGAGAGGTTTTTTCTTTCTTTCTTTCTTTTTTTTTTTTTTGCCATAGGGAGCGTGCGCTCGCCAGACAGACAGAGAGAGACAGAGAGATAGAAAGCAAGAAATCACCCCCCAGGGGGGATGGTCACACCGCAATCCCTTCTCCTCCATTCTCCTCTCGGGATCTTGGGCACGCACACGTGCCCAGCGTGAGTTTAAGCCACCGGGTCCGGGACTCAAACCACGTTCGACTACATGGGAGTCCAGTGACATAGCCATTACGCTAACTGCTGGTCCCACTTTTGGTCATTCTTCAAAACACAACTGGAGGATCATCTGACCTTCTCTCCACATTCTATGCACAGCTCACCATTCTTATCTTCCTGGTTCTACCTTGTACATACCCATACACCAACTATTATACCCCATTCACAATGATTTATTCTCTCTGAAATCTGTAGGCCTCTCGATTTCAAAGGACGACATCGTCCTCTGAATTTCTAGCACCTCGCTTGGTGCCTAATAGGTGTCCCTCAGTAGATCTCGGGTAAGAAATGAATAAATGCACACCAACACGAACACCTGCATGCTTGTATTTTTTATTGTTATTAAATAGCAGGGAAAATAGCGTGACCACTGTGTATCTGATTTGAGAGCAAGACCTAAATAATATACATGCAAATGCTTTTTAAAAAGGGGAATGCAGAAGGTCCATTCCTTGAGACTTTGAAACCATCCTCCTTTTTGTTCTTGTTTTTCAGATTCAAGAAGCGCATCGAAAGGGAGGCTTCTCCATATGGAGAGACGCAAAGAAGCCCCAAAGAAGGAAGCCGTAACATTCCTTGAGTCCTCACAAGGCAGCCTGACATCTGGTCCACACTCGGGGAAAAGAGGCCACATCCTCACATGGAGATCTATTTTTGTATTCCGAGCTGCTGGTGCCGTGCTCGCTCGTACAACTTGCCTTACACACAGGAAGGGGAAGGAAACTAATATTTACCAATGCCGGCTACACGTCCTGTGCTGCTGCACATCCACACCTCTCAGAGGATATCTGTCCCACGTTGTGTATCGGCAACGAGCTCTCAGCCAGCAGGGCTCTGAAAAGCGCTCGGAGGTGAATGCTGAGAAAGCACCTCCAGCTCCCTCCACTCACCTAGCTGATGGCAAAATGCACAGCTGATGCCCGACGTACCCATGTCTTCACACGTGCTTTTTCCTAAGGACGCTAATGGGAAATCTACTGCGAAAGTCTGAGAGCTTCTGAACTAGATGTCTCTCTGTTGGTGTGGGGACAGATAAGCTCAGCACAGACATGGAGAAGGAATCCAGATTTTCTTTGACCTGCATGGGCTGTGCTGTGGGTTTGACAATGCCGGCCTCAGGCACGGAGCAGCACTCGGTGTTCTGAATCCCTTTCTAGGCTGTACCAAGAGCCTCCTGGATCACTGGATTTATCATTCGTGGTGCTTCTGTTTTAAGATATGGGATGGAACTGTAGCTCTGAGAGTCCCACAAATGCGTGGAATCCATTTTTAAATGAGATCCTTCATGATTCCAAAGTAAAGCCTATGTTTCGAAAATGAGCCTGTATCTTTTAAAATTAGATTCCATGGAACTTGGCTGAAGAGATGGATGGTTCTCTCCATTGCCCCCACACCTAGGTTCCCAGATATACCACTATGTTGTACCCTGATGGTTCCAGAAGTTCTACCACCTTCCACAAGGCAAAGTGCCTTCTCTTGAGGTACGGAGGAGGGTAGCAGCTCCATGCGTGGGTGCCGGTGGCAGACTGCGTGGCTTCCTGTTCCAGCCTTACGGTCTACTAACTGTGCTTCCTGCAGTTTTCTCACTTTCTCTGGACCTCAGTTTTCTCCTCTGTAAAAAGACGATAATAATAGTACTCCTACCTAGTACTAATAATAGTACCCAGGGATAGTTTTGAGGTTGTTTTTATACTTTTTTAGTCATTTATTTTTTACATTTAATCACTGTACATCTTTACAGAGTACAACATGGTTTTCCTCAGTATGAATACAGTATGTAGTCAGGTCAAAGACATTACCATATATATTATCATCAGCAGATTATTTTTCATTTTTGTATCTATTCAATGTTTTGTTCCCTGATCCTCTCCCTCAACCCCCATTAGCCTTCCTATACTGTCTCTAATAATCTATAGTTGCCCTCCCTATTATACCTTCCAATCTTTCAGTTTCTGCTAGAGTGCAGACATTCGGTGTATATTATGTGGAGACATACAATGCCTCTCTTTCATAGTCTAATTTGCTTTAAATTTGTTTAGCATTAAATCTTCCATCAATGCCTCTCTTTCATAGTCTAATTTGCTTTGTTTAGCATTAAATCTTCCATTTTTTGTCCACTTTTTATCCAATGCCAAGGTCTCATTGTTTTTTTATAGCTGAGTAGTATTCCACAATGTACATGTGCCCACATTTTTTCAATCCATTTGTCTGTTCTTGGACATCTGAATAGATTCCATGTCCTAGCAATTTTGAACAATGCTGCAATAAACATGGATATCCAAGTGTTTTTCTGACTGAGGGTTTTCCTATCCTTAGGGTAGATATCTAAGAATGTAATTACTGGATAGTATGGTAGTTCTATTTGTAAGTTTCTGAGGGACCTCCATATTGTTCTCCACAGTGGTTGTACTAATAATTTACATTCCCATCAACAGTGGAGAGTTACCATTCACCACAGCCTTGCCAGCACTTACCATTCTTTTTCTTTTTTAAAATCTTAGCCATTCCAACTAGGGTTCAGTGGTATCTCATTGTGGTTTTGATTTGCATTTTCCTTATGATAAGAGATGCTGAGAATGTTTTCATATGCCTTTTGGGCATTCCCACGTCTGCCTTGTAGAGTTGTCTGTTCAACTTACTTGCCAATCTTTTCATTGAACTGACTCTTTTTGCAGGTAAGCTTCTTGAGTTCTCCGTATATTCTGGTTATCAGTCCCTTATCTGAGGCTTAGTTTGCAAATACATTCTCCCATTTTGAGGGTTGTCTCTTCGGCCTAATTGTTTCTTTTGCAGTGCAGAAGCTTTTTTAACTTTTTTTTTTTTTTGGAGAGATTTTCGCTATAGGGCGTGTGCACTTGCCCGACAGAGAGAGAGAGAGAGACAGAAAGTGAGAAATCACCCCCCAGGGGGGATGGTCATGCCACAATCCCTTCTTCTCCCGGGATCTTGGGCACGCACGCACACGCGCCCGGCGTAAGTTTTAAGCCACTGGGTCCGGGACGTGAACCACAGTTGCCTATGTAGGAGTCCAGCAACATAGCCATTACGCTAACTGCTGGTTCCCCAGTGCAGAAGATTTTTAACCTGATGTAGTCCCACCTGTCTATGCTTTGGGATCTTATTTACGAAGTCTTGGGACCAGGAGTTGGCATAATGGCTATGTTGCGTGACTTCCAGTTCCAGACCCAGTGGCTTAAACTTATACTGGGCACCTGTGGGTGTGTGCCCAAGATCCTGAGAGAAGAATGGAGGAGAAGGGATTGCAGTGGGGCCATCTCCTCAAGGGGTGACTTCTTGCTTTCTGTCCCTCTGTCTGTCTCTGTCTTTCTGGCAAGTGCATGCAGCCTAGAGCAAAAACCTCTCAAATATATATATATATATTAGTCTTTGCCTACTCTGATGTCTCCAAGAATTTTCCCTGTGTTTTCTACCAGTAGTTTTGTAGTTTGAGGTTTTATGTTTAGATCCTTGATAGATTTTGAGTTGATTTTTGTTACAGGTGAGAGATAGGGGTCCAGTTTCATTTTTCTGCAGGTGGATATCTAGTTTTTCCAGCACCATTTGCTGAAGAGATTTTCTTTTCCCCACTGGGTTGTCTTGTGCCCTTTGTTGAAAATCAGTTGGCTGTCTGTTTGGAGATTTATTTCTGGATTCTCGATTCTGTTCCTTTGGTCTATCTGCCTGTCTTTGTGCTAAGATCATGCTGTTTTGAGTTTTAATAAGGTAACACATACAAACCACTTAGCCTAGTGCCCAGACTATAATAACCATTAAAGAAAGATGAACTATTATTATACAGGTTCTTTTCTACCCATCCATTTGAGGAAAGCTCTGAGAATATTCAGAAGAATACTGGTGCACAGTTGATGGTCCAGTTCTCAGGATTTCAATAGTAAGGACAGAAAAGCCCTGTGCTTTCTCTCAGAGCAACATGATGACCAGCTGTCACTTATTCCAGAAGCCACACATATGCGTCACTCCCTAGACATCCCTGGCAATGCCTCAGGTGAGTCTGGTGGCTGTACCAAAGCCTTCTGTTAATGTCATTTCTGTTTGCTTATCTGCAGTACTGAGGAAGGAAGAGCCAGCTCTTCTCAGGTGTTCAAGAGACATTCCTTCTGAGCTTCGCGCAGTGGCAGTATCGTAGCCAATGAGGTTTATCCGAGGCGCGATTATTGCTAAGAGACATTCCTTCTGTATTCCAAAGTGAAACACTCAGGAACTTGGTACCTCTGAGGTCCCTCTGACAAGGTGTAACCAAAGGGATGAAGATTTCTAATGATCTTGACTGGCCCTTTTTCCTCAGTAGGCTAACAAGCTTATTACTGATGCTGATGGATGCAAAGTACTAGGAAGAATTAAGCCCTGAGAAAACCATTATTTTTTTTAAGAGGTTTTTGCTATAGGGCGTGTGCACTCACCAGAGAGACAGAAAGTGAAAAATCACCCCCCAGGGGGGATGACCACGCTGCAATCCCTTCTCCTCCATTCTCCTTTCGGGATCTTGGGCATGCATGCACACGTGCCCGACATGAGTTTAAGCCACTGGGTCTGGGACTCGAACCATGGTCAGCTACATAGGAGTTCAGTGACGTAGCCACTACACTGACTGCTGGTCCTGAAAACCATTATTTTTTTAATCTTAAAAGACTAGGAATTGTTTTAGTTTGACCTTATAAATTGAACACATTTTTTAAAAATTAGAAGTTCCCCAATGGAACTAACACCATAGATTAGTAGTTAAAGGAACCAGATCCCACAATGTGGACTGAAGTCTGAATTCTAGCCCTGGAGGCTTAAAAATATGTTGGTCACGTATGTGTGCATTCACCTAAAACCCAACATGATGGAGAAATGGAGAAAAGACTGTGTTGTGATCATGCACCCATTGGGGTGTTTTCTCCTCCTCCTTTTCTGTCTCTGTCTCTTTCTGGTGAGTACATGCAACCTCTGGCAATTGGAAAAAAAAGTTCCTCATTTGATCTGTAATGTTTAGATTCGTGGACAAATATATAGGTAAATTTGCATATTAATTTATAAATATGTCAAATTGTTAATTCTAGGTGATAGGAATAAAGGCATTTACAACATATTTTGTTTTTCTGTATATTAAATCATTCTCAAAATAAGTTCTCCCCCCCCCCAAAAAAAAAGTTAAATAAAAAGGAACCAGCAGTTAGCATAATAATGGCTATGTCGCTGAAATCCCATGTAGTTGACTGCAGTTAGAGTCCCAGACCCAGTGGCTTAAACTTATACCGGGTGTGTGTGCGTGCGTGCCCAAGATCCTGAGAGGAGAATGGAGGAGAAGGGATTGTCGGGTGGCCATCCCCCATGGGGGGGTGCTTTCTGTCTCTCTGCCTTTCTGGTGAGCACATGTGCCCTATAGCAAAAACCTCACCCCTCCAAAAAAATTAAGTTCTCAAATGCCTCTATCAGAATAATTTTATGCACTATTCTATCTAGAGAACTTTGTTATCTCACCCTGGTAAGAGGGACATTATTTTTCCAACATATTAATAAACTAGGCACAGTAAGCTAGATAGCAGTAAATGGACAGGTCAAGCCACTCCAGATATTGCCACAGGTTCACACCAGAGTCCCTGATGTGGGTGCACAAGGTGTGGGGGGCTTAGAAGGAACTCTGTGCAGGGAGTATCAAAGGCATCACAAATCCAGTGATCAATTAATTGCAATCCTTGACCTGCTGCTGTTGGGGCAACAGACCAGAAGGGTAGCTGCAACTGCTTCTGATGTGGTCCTCCGAAGGCCCTTTCCACTTCTCTATGGCCATATGAGCTGTGACAACTGCTGGATGCCCTGAGGAAATGCACTATTCTGAAAACCAATCAAATCATATGCTCAGAGAAGCTCTGCCCTAGCATGCCACAGGGAGCAGCATGTGAGCACCAACACAAGTGGGTGTTTTGCTTTGTTTTAATCTACATCTCTCTTTTCTTTCTATGCAACATGGAACTTTTCTATTTACCCAGCACAATTCCAATTAAGAACCCCTTTAGGGGACCAGTAGATGGTGTAATGGTTACATTACTGGACTCCTATGTAACTGACCGCAGTTTGAGTCTCAGACCCAGTGGCTTAAAGCTCACGCTGGGTGTGTGTGTGTGCGGGCCCAAAGTTCTGAGAGGAGAATGGAGGAGAAGGGACTGCAGCATGGCCATCCCCCCTGGGGGGTAATTTCTTGCTTTCTGTTTCTTTGTCTCTCCAGTGAGCACACACACTCTATAGCAAAACTCTCTCTTTAAAAAAAAGAATCCATTGGGTAAGTTTTAAGAACTTTCATAGGTGACCTGGGAACAGGTGGGCTGGGCTGCTGACTTCCGATTTCTGTGATCAACCAGTGGAAAATAGCAAGGTGATGGGGCAAGCTTAAGGTTTACCTTAATTTGTAAATGTCTAAATTCTCTGGTCTGAAAACACTCTTCATCTTGACTGTTAAATAACCAATCAGAAAACAGTAAGCAGCTCACCAAAGCATTATGAGGAGCCTGACTTCTTCCTCCATACATCCGCAGGGGTGGGTCTGCATATCACCTCCACTGGGGAGTATTCAGGGCACTGCAAGTCAGAGATCGATCCGTTCCAGCTCGTGACCTGCTGCTCTGGGGCAGTGAACAGGAAGGGCAGCTTCCCACCTGCTGCACATACCTCAGCAGTGAGCTATAACTGCAGGGGAGCGGGCTGAGACTACAGGTGCCTCCTAGCTACACTGTTCTGAAGGGGCTCTAGAATGAGGAACTGAAGCCTATGGGTGAGGTCTCTCTGGCTCCAATCTATGTGGGCTACACAACAGGTTCTCCCCTTTATCATCTTGGGCTGCTTCCATCCCCACCCCAGCCCTGAAGACCATTACCTTTACAAAGACTCAACAGAAAAAAATTCTCCCAGCACAAGTGCTCATTTAAAACCACTCTGGGGCCAGCAGGTGGCATGATGGTTAAGGCACTGGATCCCACTGGCCAACAAGGAAGTCTGAGTCCAGGATCTGCTGGTTTGAAAATCACACCAGGCATATAAGCCTGCATCCCCAAAATCTCATCAAGAGAATGGAGAAGGGATTGTAGCATGGCCATCCCCTGGGGTATGATTTCTTACTTTCCCTTTCTGTCTCTCCTCCCTGGCAAGTATTCCCCTGGGGTAGCAAAAAAAAAAAAAAAAAAAAAAGGGAAAAAAAAAGGGAAAAAGAAAACCACTCCTGATGAACATCATATCTTTGTTCTTTCTTTCACTGGACAAATGCTGAGTACCAGCTCTGGTGCAAAGCTGGTGCTTTGGTACTGCAGATAAAAGTCTAGTCTTCACCTCTGAGAGATTTCCAAGTCTGCTGTAATGAGTCAACGGAGGCGTTTCACAAACTCTGCAGAATGCCTGGGGAGTCAGGAAAATGGGGTGCCACAAATCTTTACCTGTTTTATATAATGTGAGAAAATCATGCACTATCTAAGTATTTATACTGGTAGGAGGACAGGTTAAATTTAGGTCAAATTCTATCACTAATTTTCAAAGTAGTCCAGACACAGTCCATCCTGAATAACTGTCCTGCTGGTATATGTACTAAGAAAATAAACGGTATGTTGTTTCAGTTAATTATAAAATGCCATTACATTCCCTGACCATGTCCCAGGTGAAGGTAGGGGTAGAAGGTGTTGTTTTGCTGGGTGGCAAATGGCAGCGAGCCAAGGCTTACATATTTACTATGGCTAATAGATCAAGCAGATAATCCATACACGAGTAAGGGATAACTGACACTCCATGTTGACTGCAGGTGACTCTCAATCTTCTATGGGGGACATCAAAAAGTCTGTTGAAAAATAGATTTAAAGTATGAATTTACTGTGATGCAAAACATTTTGGAAAGCCACACTTTTTTTTTTTTTTCATATTGCGTGCCATCCATGAACTTTTTGAAGATACTCTCATATCAAGGCTTTTGTCAATCTAAAAAGAAAATGTGATTTTTAAGAAATACTGTTCTTAGGCCAGCTGGTAGTGTGGAGGTTGAGGTGGCTGGATCCCATAGGGTCAAATACATGGTTCAAGTTCCAGATCCGGTGGCTTGAAAACCATGCCAGGCATATGCATGTGTGCCCCAAAATCCCGAGAGGAGACTGTGGAAGAGGGGACTGCAGTATAGCCATTCCTCGCAAGGAGATGATTTCTCACTTCCCTCTCTCTGTCTCTGCCCAGCAAGTACACATGCCCTATAACTAAAACAAAAGAAAGAAGGAAAAAATACATATCTCATTCTCATTTTATAAGGGGATGGAGAATAAGCTCCAGATAAACTTCCGAACTTCAACTATTTCTCGACATTTTTGGAAGACCTCTTTGAAAGTGCAGGTTCACCTCCCAATAACCTCATCTAACCTCACCTGGAATGACTAAGTGACTGCAACAGTAATACTGTGAAGCAGCACTGCCCCCCACTCCCCACTGAGCTCATGCATCTACCAGCCATGTGAGAACTTGGCATCATTTTTAAAGCTAATTACCAGCAGGTTTCTGAGACAGGTGGAATGGGTTTCTGTCACCTCTCTTCTGCAGAGTAAGCACAAGCTTCACTGGCTGACCACGGGAGCCTGCATCCTAGTCCCTGAGATTCTGGGCATCCTCTACAACAAGGGAGGCCTCCCAGCAGCAGCCTGGCATATGCATCTGGCTAGAGAAGTTGCTTGAAGTCTTGATGGCTTACTGCTTGGCTGGAAGTACTGACAGCAAGAGTAACATTCCAAAGCATTAAAACATAGAATCAGAATAAAGTTTGGCACTTGGGAAATCCTTATGGAATTTATGGGTTGATATGACAGGGAAAGTTTTTCAAGCATTTGTTACAAGAGAGGATTATTTCATTGACAAATGATGTCAGTATTTTTCCAAAAATCTTTGTTTTCCAACTATTCTGATCTTTCCTAAGGAGGGCATAAAATTCCAAAACCAACTTTATTTTTTCTTTTATTTATTTTTACTTTTTTTGGAGAGGTTTTTGCTATAGGGCGCATGCACTCACCAGAAAGACAGAGGGAGAGACATAGAGACAGAAAGCGAGAAATCACCCCCCAGGGGGGATGGTTACGCCACAATCCCTTCTCCTCCATTCTCTTCTCGGGATCTTGGGCACGCACGCACACGCGCCTGGCGTGAGTTTTAAGCCACCGGGTCCGGGACATGAACCGCGGTCGACTACGTGGGAGTCCAGCAACATAGCCATTATGCTAACTGCTGGTTCCCAAATCAACTTTATTTT